AAAGGAAAGTGGTCTAACCAACGACATTTGCAACATTCCTACTTTCCAATCCGAAATTTAAATTAAAATGAAAGAAATATTGGGGAGGAGAGAGAGAGAGATGAGATTTGCTTCCAAGACATCTACACACCCATATGAATGGATATACGTAATCAGCCAGAACACAGATATCACATACAAGCAAGGCTCGCCATAAAAAAACAAAATAAGAAGATACTTTACCTTAGGAGAAGGTGTTTGAGGCGTCTTACTCTTCTTGGCCACAATCTTGGAAGAACAACTGTAGCAACTGTAAGCCAGTGCAAGAGCTGCTGGTGATGATGAAATAGTTAATAGGGGTTTCATGGGTCTGCCGCAATATTGTCAATCTTCATTTTCTTCGACTCCATGACAATAGTTCATCTTCTTATTTGTTCTGCAAAGGGATGAAAATAAGAAAAATGAACTTTGGTGCTCTCCATTGTTCAGAATAGGATGAACACTAGTTAGGTCGTGGCGCACAATTGGCCACCAGTTGAAATGTTTTTTCTTTTCTTTTCTTTTTTTCTTTTCATCCTGTAAAGTATTATTAAAAATTAGGGAAAATTTTTATTTACCTCCTAAAATTTAGGATTTTTTTAACCTTGTCCCCTAAACATTATTTTTCATTCAAATACCTCCTTAACTTTGGGTTTCTTTTCATCACCATCCTCCATCACTCTTCTGTTTAATTCTCGTTAATTTCCATCTTTAAATTCTCAATTCCTTCTTCAATCCCTAATATTAAAATCTTAAGAAATTCCAACATTCTGACTCTTCAAATCCCTTCAAAATCAGTGAAGAAGAGTGTTGTGAGAAAGTGAAATCATGGGGACACAAACATCTGAATTTATCATGAATGATTTTTGTCATTGTGGGAAAAGTGCTGCTGAATGAGATTGATCGATATGCAAGTGAAAATGTAAACAAGCTTCTCGTAGGAAACAAGTGTGACCTTACTGATAACAGAGTTGTGTCGTATGATACAAAGGTAGATTTTATTTTGTTTTTTTCTTCTCATATTATTAATGAGTTTCTTTTTTGCCTGATGAAAAATGCCTTTGCGGATGAAATTGGCATCCCATTATGGGAACAAGTGCAAAGAATGCCACCAATGTTGAACAGCTTTTATGGCTATGGCTGCTGACATCAAGAACGTGTTTGCTTTATGCTGCTATGGCTTGAAAAAAAAAAAAAAAAAAAAAAAATCGGACTTTTCTTTCACCCTCGAAGATCAGCTTAAGCTCATATGCTTCAAAATTACAAATTGACCCTACGGAGGGTGTAACGTGTGATACTCCTAGAATATTCACAAGGCTAATTATAATTGTTATTTGGATGTGAGACCTTTACCTTGAAAGCCGAAAGAGGGCATTCGTGAACACGAGGTGCCAGGTTGTGCATGTGTCATATGATTCCAGGCTTTCAGCCGACGTGAGGAACTCTTTATCTTATATAGGCTTTTTATACCTTTTTATTTTGGAATTTTCGGAGATGAGGTTCTAAGATTTGAATGTTAGGGTTTGAAGAAGGAATTGAGAATTTAAAGATGGGAATTAACGGAGAATTAAACGGAAGACTGATGGAGGATGGTGATGAAAAGAAAAACGCAAAGTTAAAGAGATATTTGGATGGAAAATAATGTTTAGGAGACAAAGTTAAATAAATCGTAAACTTTAGGAGGTAAATAAAAATTTTCCCTAAAAATTATGTAATATTTATTTTATATAGTAAAATACTTAAATTATTTTTTAAAATAAATTGATGGTTTTGTTTATCGCGTAACTTTTGCACTTTTTCAATTATTTCACCTATATCAATTATATTCGTTTGTCGTCTCATAGCATTTTGGATAAATATTTTGCACTTCACCAATTATCTTCGTCTGTCTGTTGCATAGTTTATCGCATAATTTGTTTTGCACTTTGTGGGGTGAAAAAAATAACTTATTATTTGGCGGTGTAAAAAACTTAGTCCATATTCATAATGAGGCGAAAATAACTATTTTCTCATACAAATGATATAGAGAGTTCTAAAATAGTGAGTTGAAAATAGTAGGAAGACTACGATTGTATAAGAGCATATCCAATGACTTTTCTTTTACTCTATTTCGTTGCCACATGACACAAATAATCTTATGGGATATGAAAAATGTCTATGAATCTTTTTAAATGTAAAAATCATTCTAAACAACTTCTCAGGGGCGGATCTAGATATAAGTTTTTAAAATTTTAAATAATTCTTACAAAATAACATTATTGTTTTTATTTGAAATGATACACCTCACCAGTCAGATTCGGCGATATTATATTATAACAATTTTAGTACTTATATCATATAATAAGGTTGATAGATAAATTTATTGTTTTTAATTATAATGATAAATATTGAAATTTTTATTAATAGATATAATTATTTTAATATATTGAAATATATATATAATATGAATGTCAAATTATACTTTGTCAAAATATGACTAATTTAAGTTATCATCTAAAAAAAAATGATAATATATATAAATGTTATTAGCTTTTAAGATATATTTACAATTTAAGTTACTCAAACGTTTAAACTAGACGTGGCCACGGGCCACCCGGCCCGGACCCGGCACAAACCCAGCCCGGTCAAACACGTTGACCACGGGTCCGGGCCCGGCTCGGCTTTCAACCGGCCCGGTCCAGGGACTTCTTTTTGTTGACCCTGCCCAGCCCGGTTCGGCCAGAAATAAACACATTGTTTTTTAATTTTTTTTTCTTTTTTCTTTTTTATTTAGGCGGGCCAAACCCGGGTCGAGCCCGGCCCGACCCTCCAGGTCATGGACCCTAGGGTCGTGCTGGTTCAGGGACAGTCTAACCCAACCCTTCGGCCCACCGGGCCGGGACGGGTTGGTTCTGGCCCGCCCTGGGTTTTGGCCATGTCTAGCTTAAACTTGAAAGTTTTGGATAAAGATCCATATTTAATGGACTATTTAGAATCTTTATAAATTAACATATACAATTATAAAGCGTTGAAAATTGACAATGAAAAACTCTACATTTATATGTAAGAGGATAACCCATACGGAAATATATATAAAATAACAATAACAAAAATGATCACATTTAGGTTTTTCTTAAATTAATAAATTATATTTCAAAATGACTTGTTTATTTCTTATTACAAAAAATGAAGGAAAACGAATTGTAAAATATTTTGTTATATTTCTTAATAATAATAAAAACGCAAAATAAAATAACCAGACCTCATTCTCAATTTTATTTTTTTAGCATCAAGTCAAAGACAAATTGATTAGGGAATCCTGAACACCCGATTGTTCCAACGATTTATTAATTGTTAATATAAGTACTTTGTTCAATATGATTAAAATTTTTTGGATCCGACGCTACAACTTTTATTATGTATTATATTATTTATTATTTGATTTATTTTTCTTATCAAACCAATTACAATTTTACGTATCATAAATGATATCACAATTAATATTAACCATTAAATACACAATTTTTCAATTTCCTTTATGTAGTCATGTAATACAAATGGACAATGTTATTGATAGGTCCTCTTCTAGATTTGGAGTGAACAGGTTGAGATGAGCTCCGATTTGCCTTAATCGCCTCTGGATCGCCACGAACACCTGCAAGAACTCAACGCCAGAGGGGTTTCCGTCGGAGAGCCTCTGACGCTTAAGTCAGTGTCAAGAAGAGAGGAGTGCTCTGCAGATAGAGCAGCAGCAGAATATGGAATGTGTATAGAATGTAAAAGTCAGGGTTTGGTCATACCTCATCCCCTTTTATAGGGAAATACTCGCCCAGAATGCCCTCAGTCAGTCTACCTGACTGCTCGGTCTATCCATATCCTAATCACCTCTTAGTCAGATATGAGTCATCTTAAGATTCCATCTTATCCTCTTAAGATTTCTCCTTCTTCGTTAAACCTGCTAAATATTTGGAGTATATATAGAGATACACCTCGAGTCGCGAGGTATACGAAGTCGACCTCGAAAGATAGATCGACTAAGACCAGGGTGGAAACACTCTCACATGAGAAGGTTTCTCGGGTTGTTGTGATAAGTGAAGACGATCTCGAGCTGCGCTGTAGATGAGCTTCAAGCTCGATCTGCGAGATGGGTGGAGTCGACCTCAAGTTATCTGAGGTCGACTTCCCTTAATAATGATAAGAGTCCTCCCTGCTGATTCACTCTTAAACCTCTCGAGTTGTCCTAGAGGTCGCCTTTCAGTCGTTACTTCATGAACTCGGGTTGATGGTTCTCACGGCAGTCCTCTCGAGACATCACATCTTCAATCGAGTCGTCGTACAACTCGACTTATTGCTCGGTCGAGTTGTCCGTACTTAAACTCGGTTTACCGTGATATGGCTATATCAGTTATATTGGAGATGTTCTTGATACCTAAGAGTATCTCCAATGGTTCTTGGATGACTCTTTTTTATTGTCATGTGTCATAATAAATCTTATGTGTCATTGAAAATGTCTAGAAATACTTCTACACATAGAAGTACTTATAAACATCATCTATTATATATTATATTATTTAGTAAACATATTTTTCATCTCCAACCAATTATAATCTTACACATGTCAAATTATACTAGAGTAGACATTATCCATTGGAGACAAAATTTTATAATTTTCTTTCTCCATTTTATACATCTCAAAATGGACAACATACCATTGAAGATGCTCTAAGGGTGTGAATGGATATAAATTCAATAAAATAAAATCAATAAAAACTCAAATTTAAATCAACTCTAACTCAACTCTACTATCATCAATATTATTAATATAATTAAATAATATCAATCGACCATTCCTATACATCACATAAACTTTAATTCACTATTTATCCTCTCACATAATTTTAACTAACTATAATTTCGCATCACATCTCTCATACTTTTATATCAAATCAACTTTAATTATTTTATTTTAAATATTATTTTAATTTAAATTAAATTTTCAGTAACAACTAACTATACATTTTTCAAAAATAACTATGTTTAACAAAAAAATCAATCAAAAACTAATTAAATATATATCCAATAACTATTCAAATATAGGAAGTTAAAAGTTAAGGAAGANACAAAACAACAGTAAAAAAAAGAAAAAAAGAAAAGAAAATTAAAGAGCTTGTTAGAATATGTAGGGGCGATTGGATGTAGTTTCAATAGTTAAAAACTAATCAGAACTCAAATTTAACTCAATCCTACTATCTCTAATATTGTAAATATAATTAAATAATATCAATCCATCATTCTTATACATCACATCAACTTTAATTCACTCATCATTCACTCACATAATTTTAACTAACAATCACTTTTAATCATTTTTCTCATACTTTACATCAAATCAACTTTAATTATTTTATTTAAATATTATTTTAATATATTCACTAATAATTAACAACTCTACTATAATCAATATTATTAATATAATTAAATAATATCAATCAATTATTCTTACACATCACATCAACTTTAATTTACTATTCATCCACTCACATAATTTTAACTAACCATCATTTCAAATTATCCCTCTCCTACTTTTATATTAAACCAACTTTAATTATTTTATTTTAAATATTATTTTAATATACTACTAACAACTAACCATACCACATTTTTTAAAATTAACCAAACCAAACCAAAAAGTCCAATCAAATAAAAAAAATTATATCCAAGCAAAACAAGGGCATTACTATTCACCGCCCCCTATTACTATTTACCGCCCCTCTTTGGACAGTTTTGCCACTGACATTTTTTTCAAAAAGTTAAAAAAAAAAGAAAAATTATTGTTGTCCGGCCGCCGAAACCGGACGACCCAAATGGCGTCCGGCTCCGACGGCCTGTCGTGCCGGTCCGACCTGCCGGACACCATTTTTTTTAAAATAATATTACTATAAATCATTATGTTATATATTCAAAATAATTTGTTAAATTGGACGTTAGAATAAAAAAAAACTCATTCAACTGAAGTTTAACAAATAAAAAAAACCATTCAGCTTAAAATGAAAAAAAAAAGTATCATTGATGCGATTTTCGATTGCTCTGTAACACGAACGTATGTTCCCACGTTTCGAGACAAGCTCGTTCTCCTAAGTCGACCCGTCAGACTTTCAGGAGAACGAGCCTGTCTCTGCAATCGAAAATCACATCAATGATAATTTTTTTTTCATTTTTAATTCGTGTTACAAATCATTCAACTTAATGTTTTACAATTAAAAAAAAAAAAAACTCATTTAGAAACGTTACATTTTACATTAGTAAAGTACAATGACCATTTTAAACTAATTTATGATCCCTCTAAATTACAAAATTATATTGTAGTTGAGGAGCATTGTCTGTCTGTCTCTCTCCCGACGAACAGACGCATCTATCCTCCGAGCCTGATCGATCATCGTCTGTCTGTCCCTCTCCCGACGAACGGACGCATCTACACCCCGACTTCTAGTGTGTCGGGGGCCAGAACCTTCATAATATTCATTAACCTCGTCGTCGTCATCCCTGACAGATTTTTTAGGTCAACTAACACCCTGGATAAAAAATATAAAATAATAATTAGTAAATATTTTTTTTACTAACAAATTACATGTATATTTTTTAATATATTCTTTAACTATATTTATATATATATATATGTTAATAAATATATATAAATATTTTTTTTAATAAAACTAATTATTAATATATATATATATATATTATTTAGTAATTTATTATTATTCTGATAATTAAAAATATTTTCTATCCAATAAATTAATTAATATACTTTTTATTTATTAATATAATATTTTTTTGTTTTAAATTATATTAATTTATTTTTAAATGAATTATTTAATATAAATTTTTTTATTAATATATTATTTTTTTGTTTTAAATTAAAATAATTATAATTTTAAATTATAATTTATAATTTTTCATTATAATTAAATTATAAGTATTATTATAATTTATAATTTTTCATTATAATTAAATTATAATTATTATTATAATTATAATTTATTATAATCTATTATATTTATAATTATAAATTATTATTATAAAAAAAAATTGTCCGGCCGGCGGGGCCGTACGTTTTTGGGCCGTCCGGACCGGCCAACCGGATGGCCCAGCCGCGTCCGGAGGCGACGAACGGACGCAACAACAGTTTTATAAAAAAAAAATTTAAAAATAATTTACAACTAAAAAAAAAATAAAATTATCTTGCCGGAGAAGAATCTATTCCCATGTCGTAGGATTTTTTCTACATTTTTTTAAAATTTTTTGAAAGCTCGAATGGCTCGTTGAAAGTTTAAAAATTTAGAGAGGTAGAGAGTTTTAGGGAGATAGAGAAAAAAGGCAATAGAATAAGAAGGGGATGTAAATAGTAATAGTGGCAGTGAACAGTAGATGAGTAAAACAATCTAGCGAATTAAGTCTGCTTGCAAGTGTTCTACAACCGATTTCCTCCACAACTCCGACTCAGTTTCCACACAACCACTAACTCTCCTCCACGTGTTGTATCTCATTAAACCGACCGGGAAAACTACTATGGCGGACCAATCGAGAACCGTCGCCGCTGCGAGGCAGCTGCCTGTCTGCGTGACTGGAGCCAACGGCTTCATAGGGTCGTGGATGGTCAAAACCCTTCTCGAGCACGGCTACACAACCATCCACCTCTCCTTGTTCCCCGGCTCCGACCACTCTCACCTCTTCTCCCTCCCTGGTGCTGCCAGCCCCGCCGTCAGCCTCGTCGTGCACCACGCCGACCTCCTGGACGCTCCTGCCGTGGACAGGGCCGTCGAAGGCTGCGCCGGGGGCGGGATCTTCCACGTGGCGTCCCCGTGCACGCTCGAAGACCCCATCGACCCACAGGCGGAACTCGTGGACCCCGCCGTGAAGGGCACCCTGAATGTTCTCGCAGCCGCCAGGAAGTATAAGGTGCGGCGCGTGGTGCTCACATCCTCCATTTCTGCTATGGTGCCTAACCCAGGGTGGGCCAGGGGCATGGTTGTTGATGAGTCATCATGGACGGATCTTGATTATTGCAAGCTGCGCCAGGTAACCTTTTTCTCAGTTTTGCACTAAATACTAGTTTCAAATTCTATATGATTAAAGGCAGTGTGTTCAAATACTTCTGTATGTTGAATGAGTGATTCAAAGATACAAGCTCGAAACTTGTGTAATTATCAGCTAGTTGTCAGTTCTAATTAAAGGAAGCAGAATTGGGAGTAGATGTTAGAATTTTATGCTTTCAGTTTGGTACTTTTATTACTTCTGCAGAATAGCTCTGATTTTATTATATTTTCTTTTTTGGATGAAGAAATTTTTTGATTGTGAGTGAATACTAGATGTACATGTGATCAGTTGGTCTCATATGGATACTACAAAAGTACAATTCAATATGATTTAAGGTTAGTAATATGTGAGTGAGTGTTTGTTTAATCAAATGTATGAGAAAAATGTGGTATTAATCTGTGATTTGATGATTTTTTTTGTTGAAGTGATTGGTGGAAAGTATGTATAAATTGGGTGACAAGAACTTGAAAAAAAAAAAAAATCATTAAAATCTCATATTGGAGTAAAAGTTTCTCTACCTGAATAAAAAGAATAAGGTGTGCTAACCAACTGCAACCTAAAATGTAAATTTACCTTAAATTTGTTTGTGGGAACAAATATGAAATTGACATTGTTCCAATTGCAACCTAATACGCCATTTAATAATTTGTATTAATTGCAAAATTTCGGAAATAAACATTGATGAAGATTTTAGGGCACCAAGGTGAAATTTTACATGTGTTAGTATGTTGTCTTATCCCTGATTTAACATGGAAATAAACAACCACCCTGAGTACCTAAATGCAGATGGGACTTGCTTTTTTTTTGTTGTCGTACCTAAAAGAGTGGTCTTAGTAATCATGTGCTCACAAATTTGATGAGTGCTTTGCTAAGATGAAGATTCTGTGTGGTGGGTGCACAATAATTGTTGCCACTTGATATTTTTGGAATTTGATCCAGAAAATAAGACCAATAAAAAAATGTAACTGATACTCTGATTGAAGCAGGAGTATTGGAGTCTCAGTCAGTTTGTTACATTTGCTTATACATATGATCCAAACAGACCAGAAAGACATGGCATATCTATTAGTATATGATGTGAACGTCTGAGCTCTGAGCCATCTATCTTCTGTTTTTAAATTTGGTCATGATTTTTCATATGAATGAAATATCTGAGTAAGCCTTTCATGGTCATCTTTTTTTGAGGAGTTGTGATGGAGGTGTGGGCATAAACAGAACCATTTCTGCTGCATATTTTTCTTGATGCTCTTTAAATTGATTAAGAACTGAACTCTCAATCATACTTCCTATAGCATGATCCAAGTTCAGACAAGTAAAATGACTGATCTTCATGTTTATATGTTAGATTAGATTTCAAGCTATCTACAGTATTGAAATCCGCCCTTCGGTAAAAAAGTCCGTCTCTTCCAAAGTAATTGTTGTGGTAGTCTGTTTTTATCTTTACGTTCTTTTGTCCGACCACAAGTGTCACTTTGATAATCAGCTTAGCGAAATAATAGGCCGGGAAAGTAGTGCGTAACATGTGTAACAACACAGAATATAAGCAGAAGCGAGAATTAAAATTTTTGCCTTCGGTTCTTCCATTAGCAAATTTGTTGTCTCCCATAGTATACAGTTTGGAATTACAATTAAAAGACTCCCTTCTAAACCTACCAAACCTATACCCGATCCTACTAACTACTTCCCTGGCCACAACGCCGACTAACAACTATTATAGGAATCCCTTCAAGTTGACAATATGAAGTACAACGTTCTTGTGCTTCACTTTTTCAAAGATGTTAGAATACACAACCGAAATCTTATATTCACAAATTATAAAATATAATCTACAGTCTCACAAACTCTCAGAAAATAGACTAACTCAATATACTCGTGAGAGATAATAAAAACTTAGCTCTACCCACTAGATTTCGTGATCTAATATATATAAAAAAAAAGACAAATCGTAACTTGGTAAGGGCACCTTGAATCGACTTGAACTTCAACATTTTTTCGAGTAAGTTTCCTTCAAGTAGAATCCATGCATGTTATTTGAAGGTCTTTAGAATTGCGTATCCCAAATCGTGCAAGAACATGGTAGTCAATCTTCCAAATCTAAGAGATCTAATCTATATATATTGATATATATTGAAAGAGGTCGATAGAATAATCTAAAATAGTAACTTTGACTTTGTAAATACATAAGTTGACTTACTATTAAAGGAAATATAGTAAAAATTACTTTAATATTTATAAATTAGAAAATAAAAATAAAATTATACATACCTGTTGTAAATCGTGCAATTCGGTTGATAGAACGACTTTCTATATAAATAAAGTGGTATCAATTTTGAAAATTATTTTGTGAATCAAAATTATTTTGTGATAATTATCGTAATAAAAATCCTATTCTTCGTATAATTATGAATCATTTGAATTTCTTATTTTCTTTGATAACCAGCCATACAACATGTATTCAAAAATTCATCTATTAAATAGTTTTTTTAAGAAAATATTATTTAAAACTGCACAATAAAATTGCAAAAATAATTACAAACTAAAAATTGAAAATCAGTTATGAAAATTTTATTATGATATTTATCACAATGCTACAATAGAATTTTATTTATCAACATTAATAACAAATCACGGTGATTTATTTCTCATTTGCTAATTAACCATATACCAAAATATTTTTTATCATATCTTTAAAAACTCATTTAATCAAGAGGATTATTTTAGAATCCTTGAACCAACCATACCACAACTATACTCGATCCTACTAACTACTTTTTTGACCACAATGTTGACTAAAAGCTATTACAGGAATTCGTGCAAGATGACAATACCCAAAAGTATTTTGAATTCACAAACTATAAAATATAATCAATAATCTTACAAACTCTCAGAAAATATAGACTAACTCAATATACTAAGGAGAGAACAATACAAACTCAGCTTTACTCTCCAAATTTCGTGATCTATATATATAAGACAAATCCAGGATACATTGGATTGATTTGAACTAGTAAGTTTCCTTCAAGTAGAAGTCATGTATGTGATTTGGAGATCTTCGTTTCCAAAATCGTGCAGGAACACGTCTTTCTTAAAATTGCCGATTTTTCAAATCTAAGAGATCTTGCGGTGAATCTTTTCAAATCCTCTGTTGATTTTCTCCAAAACGTCGAGGATTCTTTATGTATGGATAACTCATTCTTTTATAGTATTTGCCACATATATCTTGTCCTAAAATAGAGAGAATATTAATTATGGTATAGAATCAAACTAATTAATGAAGCAACATATATGGAAGTTAATATATATATATATATATAAAATATATATTGTGTAATCCTTCTTGTAAAGGGTTAGGACTCCGTAATACATACTATAATAAATATATTTCATATATTATTAATAATAAATACTATCAACTTAATGAATTCACAAGTGTATAAATAGAAAACTTCTTTTTGATTTATTTTACTAGCCTAACAAGCAAATCTTGTAGAAAACATTTAGGTTTGTCGGTATGCCAAACCAATATTTTATCACTCATTATGTCTGAAAATTTCAACATTATCCTGGTTTATTGTTTCTGAACTTGTGTGAAGTTTTCTGAACAGTTATGAAGTGATGTAGAATTATACTAATTACGGGTACCTTTAATGGTACAGAAATGGTATCCTGTTTCGAAAACTTTGGCAGAGAAAGCTGCATGGGAATTCGCAAAGGAAAATGATATGGATGTGGTGGCAATAAATCCTGCCACGTGTCTCGGCCAACTTCTGCAGCCTGGATTGAATGCCAGCTGTGCAGTGTTGAAATATCTGCTGGAAGGGTCGACAGACACACAGGAGTACTATTGGTTGGGGGCTGTGCACGTCAAAGATGTTGCCGAGGCCCAACTTTTGCTGTATGAGACACCTAATGCCTCGGGTAGATATCTCTGCACAAATGGTATCAATCAGTTCAGCGATTTTGCAGAGAAGGTGTCAAAACTATTTCCTGAATTTCCGGTTCACAGGTGTGCTTTTACTTTCGCTTCTACCCCCTGTAATAATATTACCAGAGCTGCAGATGTGTGTAGGTCGAAAATTTAAAAACAAATGAACAAAAATTAAGTCATTTACTAGGTTGATATTGAGGTAAACAAAAACTTATTGGGAATGAGAATGTTGAATTATATAAGTACAGAAGTAGAGTTAGGACTCTCTAAGTCTTTGGGTTCCGTTATTCACTTAGACATAAATTTTCTACGCTAAAGATTAGAAGGTGCTGTTATTTCATTACAAATCATATATATAGTTCCAGAATTCTTCACTTTATTATAGATTGGGTTTACTACGAGACTCCCATATAGAAACTCAACAAGTAAGATTGCATCTAATATTTTAGAAGAATTATGTTTCAAGTTGGAAGGTACGTGACAAGATGAAATGATTTTTGATTTTTTCTTCACAATAATAAACATTCTTTTGCTGATAAGGTGAAATAAAGAGAGGACGGATTCATGTGATGATCTTGGATGACATTAATAATGCTTCATGAGTTGCCGGGCACTCAAAAAGTTTTTTTGATTTTCAAGTGTTCATTATTTTTAGATTGCAGAATTGACTTTGGCATCTCCATGGTTTCTTTAGCCCACTAGGGCGAGGATCTTATTATGTCCCTTTTAACTTTTGTGCAAGAATCGAACTAATTTTATCTGTGCCTTCAATAGCATATAGAGCCCATGTTCGATGTCAAATTGGAATTAATTCCTTTTACTGCTCAACTTGTTGGAGCATATCTGAAGTAACTTTATTCTTGCTTATAGCACATTAACAACTTGATTTTTAGATGTCCTTTGACTAACAAAATACTCTGTTTTAAGACATGGTCTGGCTGTTCTTTTGTGGATTTTTACTTCATTGTTTCTATATCAACCCTGTGGTTAGTTTTTCACATTAGGGACCATTTAGTATTTCTATATGATAAATGAACTGTTTCTACAACTTTCACAACACAACTTGATTGTAGATGTTAGTATGAGGTTTGAAATTTTTTTCACTTTTATCTTTTGGTCCTTTTATGAAGCAACTAGTGTATTTAAGATACGTCTATTACTTCAATGCTTTCTCATAATTGAAACTTTTTCCTGTGAGAGGGATATAAATAATGCATCATCCTAGAGATATAATACCTTATTTTGTTACAAAGTGCCCTGCTTGTTCTACAGTGCTGTTTTCTGAGCAATCAAAGTCTAATAACGCTAGAACAAAAGTTGTTTATCACTAAAGACAATTGCCTTTTTTTCCCAGTTTCCCATGTGCATTGTGGAACTCTTATTGTATGGTGCATTTATTTCTGGAAATGTGACACTGATTGCGGATACTTTATAGTCTCGGTCTCTTGAGTCATGACTACTTCTTTTATCAGTTTAAGTATAGATAAACTGTAAATTCTCTCCAATGTTTTTGAAATCTTAGGAGTTATTTTTGTTCATTATAATAATCCCTCTCTTCAATATGTTCCCTTATCTTGATTTGTTTGTGTTTTTATTTTATTCTTTTTCCAAATGACCATTGAGAAGGTGGGGAAGGGAATAAAGGAGCAATCAACACAGTAGCCCAAGTAGAAATCCAATATTAAAAGATGGCATCATTGTTGGCACTTTAGGAATTTTTTTTTTTTTCTTCCTCTTTAGTTATACCTTTCTCTACCTACGAAATCATGCAGTGATGCAACTCATTTGTTTATTTATTTTCCCTTTTCTTAAGATGGGGGACCACGAAATTAACTTTTCGTGTGTTCTTTATCGGGTAAATTCTTGGATTTGACGAAATAGCAACAACACCGCACGAGGATTTATTTCACAAAATACTGTTCTTAGTAAAATTTCATTTTTTATAAAGGTGAATAACCATACTTTTCAAAGATTATGTGAATGATGTAAATTGTGTTCTGAATTTTGATTTTAAAGGGCAAAAGTATGAATATTTGCTTAAAAAATGTATGGCTGGCAATATAAGATTACTAGTTTAAACTTAATTATTTATTTGTCTATTTATGTTTATGTTACTCAGAGTTGAACATATACAGATTTGATGGCGAAACGCAGCCGGGACTGGTGGCTTGCAAAGATGCTGCAAAGAGACTGATTAATTTGGGTTTAAGTTTTACTCCAATTGAAGATGCTGTCAGAGACACAGTATATAGCCTTAAAGCAAAAGGATTCTTGCCATCATTTTAACTCCCAATTTTTTAAGTTGGATGATTACTCGAGCATCTTCTGATTGTTTATTTGGTAATTGGTATCATAATGAGCCCCCAATAAATTATTATTATTATTATTATTATTATTTCTTATTTTCAATGTAGTATAATTTATCATCATCACCTTCATTATACAAGAACGGTCTTAGTCTACTTAACATGTTTAAATTGATTGGACTTCATTTTGGTTGAAAATAATTTTCTAGAGAACATATTTTAAATTAGATGTAGCACTGAGCTTCGCAAGGTCTAATAAAAAAAACTGTTAGCATTGAGATGCTTTATTGATAATGTCAAAATATCCCATTACACAGTTTTATATAAATATAGTAATGTTGACCCCTATTATGGTTTTTGAGACGATTGTTACGTAATTTTTACCGTGTCTCGATATTTAAATTCGAATTCTGACACGGAACCATGTTTTTGGGCGGTGATTAGCATTTTCCCGTGCCAAGATTACATACAGAATGTATTGGTGAATGATATACAATTGCCTATGGCGAACCACTTGTTAATTGTCCATTTTATTACGTGTGAGTGATAATTAATTCAAGGTTTTAACCTGTTGTGGGCACGTGATAAAATAAGGGGGGCCTAATTAAGTTGTTTTGTTTCTGTTATTGTCGCCCGAAACCAGGCATGTTTAGGTAAAACACAATAATAATAAATTTAAGCGGGGAGCTCTATTATTCTGGATTTTAGTTTGAGTCTTTTCTTGTAAAATTTAACCTTAAAACCAGGA